TATCCCCCCCCCCCCATATAAATGTAGTACGGAAATAAAAGGCTAGCCCGGTGCACAAAGCATCATGCGTTCACTCATGGTCCGGGGAAGAGCCACAACCCAAGCAGTGGCGGATCTATATTATAGTTGTTAGTATAACTTTTGCGTAGAACTTGTATTTTTATTTAAAAAATCCATTAAATATCTATAAATAGATAACTGTGAACCCAATTATTATTGTATATTAATTTGAAATTACAACAGGTACCCATAAACTGGATCGCTTTCTGACCTCAAGGGATGTGATATAGACAGCCTATTCTGATGCAAGCATCGATTTCACGGCTCGAACAACTTGACCGTTGCTACAAGGCTCCCCTTGAATGGAAATATGATAATGATTTGCTAATTGCTATAAGATGGAAAGAGAGAATTGTACGTACATCTACTTGGCAGTCATGGAAAGCGAGTCTAAGGAGGGCAGCAGCCGAAGAAGGATCAAGTAGCATAGACCTACTCACTTCATCTTTCACAACTTGTTCTGCATTCGGACAACTGTTCCTATAGAAATTAAACTCAAGTCTTGGACTTTTTTCTTCTTTAGAATCTCCTACAATAACTGAAAATAAACAAAAGAATGTGCAGATAAAAACAAGAAGAAAAATTCCTTTTGAACCTGTCATCTTCAATAACAGGTCTACACTATACTAAACAATTAACGGAATATTGTGAAAGAAACACACTATAAATAACAGTAAATGTCCAGGAATTTGTAGGTAAGTGTCCAAAGGCATGCACCTTGTAGTTTGTGGTTTTACCACCTGGACAATGAAGTAATTGAGTTTGACCTGTTACTATTAAGGTAGTGCAATTAAGGCTTTTTCTTATTTGGGTCAATTTCATATTAATGAGGTGCGGTTACAAATATAGGGAGGAAGGAAGGCAGTCGTTCTCAATGACATATCTCGAACTTAGAAAGCTGCTGAAAATATTCACAAGTTCTAAGCATTTTAAGGCGGAGGTGCGGTGGTAGATGATGTAGGATGATAGATGAGAGACTAGTGTTGGCTATTTGTTTGCTTTAATAAGGAGTGAGGTAAAAGTCTACATGGATGAAGTTCTACATGGATGAAGTTCTCTTTTTTCTTCTAATTTTGCTCATTTTGAAGGGGAAAAAAGAAGTTACATCAGAAAATATAGCCAACATATATTTTAAACATGGAGGGAGAAGCAAAGGTATGAAGAAAATATAAAGTGTTTCATATTGGGCTAGGCATAATTAGCTTTGTATAATACTAAATCATTTTTTTTATTCTTTAAAGTATAACAGCACTGAAATGGGAAAAACAATTATAATAGTTATGCCTCAATCCTAAATAATGTTTCTAATTTTTTTTGTCTAAAATAGCCAAAATTTATGGCCAAACGGGAGCTAAGAATTCTTTAATACTTGATGTTTCTCGAAATCTCACACATAGTTAGATGGTAAACAGACGGATCGGGTCGGATATGGACGTGTTAAGTGATCGGGTCCAACCCTACACCACTACAGAGTGGCGAGAGCGGTCGAAGCAGCTTTTACCCGAGAAGGTCGGGATCGAATCCACAGGGAGCTACAACAATGTTTGGAGTTGGATTTCTATCTAATCTAGTAGTGCATAGTGCTCTTGATTACACTTCCAATCATATTTGTTTATTTGTTACTTCTAATTTTATGCTAATGATATGCGAAATTAAGCTAACTATGAATGCTTGTAAGGTTTTCTAAATGGTTAACAAGGCACTAGGGAAGTAACTTTCCCCTATGTGAATACTTGACGGGTTCTAAAGCCTAAGGCAAAGTTGTTATGTTTGGGATCGCGATATAGCCAATGTACGACACTACTAACTATATACCTCTCGGTAGCTTGAGTAACTTTGCCTAATTGACTTTCTCAAGACCAATTGGGTGTCAAAATTGTGGAAGCAATATAGGCTCAAGTTGGGTATTACTATCTCTAGGTTTAATCCTTTGATTGGGGCTATTAAACTCTTGAATACGTCCCAATTCCTTGTTGATCTGATTTTCCTAGACTCAAACTCTCTTTCTCAAGAAGAGCCCAAGTCAAAAAGGCACAAATTAGTGTTTGCAACCACTAATTCAACATGAAAAACACAAATCAAGTCAAATATCAACCACCCATAAACATCTAAGCCTTAAAACAAGAGACCCATCAAATACCCACACTAGGGTTGAGTCACAACCCTAGCTAATGGGTCTAGCTACTCATAATAATGGAAGAAATTAGATATTTAGATGATGAATAACCCATAAAATATAATTACAAGCTAAGATTTGAAGATTCAATATTAAACTAGCTACACAACTGCTCAAAATAGCTAAAAATGTCGTCACGTGCTCAGCTACATATCAAATACCCTAAAATTCTGAAAAGGAAGTATTTATACAAGGCCAAATTTTCTGGACAAAAATACCTCTGACGGAGCTACCGCGGCCGCGGTGAGGCCTTTTGGATTCACGTCTAAGTCTCTGAATTTGGTCATCGTGGTCCGCAAAAAATGAATCGCAGCCGCAGTGGCTTCACCGTGGACCGCAACAAATGGATCGCGGACTACGGTGTCTTGAATCTCCCAAACTTCAAATTCTCTGAATCCCTTCTCTACGGACCGCAACAAATGGAATGCGGCCGCGATGAGGCTACCGCGGCCGCAAAGAATCAACCACGGACCGCATTGCTTGAACTTCCAAAATAGCATCCTCTCTGATCTTTTGCCACCGCGGACCGCAACAAATGCAGTGCGGTTGTGGTGGGTCCATTGCAGCCGCGGTAGATTTACTGTTGTCGCGGTGCTTTGACTTGTTCTTGGCACTTGTGCAGGTTCCACTCCTTTTTGAGCTGGTTTTGACTTCCTTGTCACTTTTTGACCAAACACTACAAACAAGAATAGCATGTAAGCTTTCGGGATTACTTGTATACATTTTTAATCCAAAACTCAAGCAAAAAGGAGTATAAAATATACTAGAATCCCTAGTTATCAACTCCCCCAAACTTAAGCTCTTGCTTGTCCTCAAGCAAACAAAGTATGTCCCACCTCCTTAAGAATAAAACCAAGAAAATCCAGCTAACCTAAAGTGACCTTATCTAGCATCAAGTGGGACTAACAATTGCCCTCAATTCAAATGAATCATTAACAACATTCAACCTTTTAAGCAACATGGTTTTAGTGTGACCCAAAAGCATCAAGAGTTGACTCAACTCATCAAGAAAACTCTTTCTGCTACTTTGGTCATTGTGGAACCCAAACTCATACTCCTCACTCTTTCTTAAGCAAAACCTCACTATTAGATTGTAGCACTTATAATGAGGATTTTGGAAAACACACTCATCTCTCTCAAAGAAAGGTCACAAGTCCGGCTCTAAGTACCATAAACTTGCCCCTAATGTGAGTCACCACTAATGTAAGCTTCACTCAACTCAAGATCATATAGGGCTTTTGTGGGGATATAATGAAGGATTTTGATTCAGGGTAGGAAATATTTGGTCTAAGTAAGGTTCATCTTCCCTTAAGCACTTTATTTGCTTTATTTTGGCACACATTCTCTTGACTCTTTGAGTCATTTACTTCTTTCTTAGGGGTTAGAGAGACATACCGTCACTCTTTATTGTTCATTTCAAATCTTTTTCTCCTTCCTAATCTTTCCAAGCCTTTCATCTTTTGACTTTTATTGACTCCCTTTATTTCTTTTACATTGTTCATTCTTTTTGACTTTTTGATTTTCTTTCTTTTTAGCCTTTCCTTTTCTTCATTTTGTAGCTTTTACCACTTTTTGCATTCCTCGTCTCTCCCCCTAAACTTATGCTTTTGCCTTGTGCTAAGAAAAGATCAGGTGCCAAGAGAGGGTCTTTTTAGAATGGGTAAAGGCTTGTATCATGGTCTTTGAAAGAACAAAGGGTTGTGGCTCAAAGGGGTTGACTATGGATATTATCATTGGTAGGCTATGGATGTTTTCAAGATACCATTCAGATCAAGGAGAGCCTATAATCACTTCTCAAGTCAAACTACACTTATGATTTCGCCTAGACAAACATTCAGGAAAAGTTCTTGTCACGACCCGAATTTCCCACCCTCGGGAGTCGTGATGGCGCCTACTCATTGAATCTAGGCAAGCCACGAAATGCGAAAAATTCAACCTCTTCCATTTTAGCCTTTTTAACAAATTAAATTAGCAGGTAATCAATATTTAAATAATGATGAAAGATGAAATTTAAGCGGAAGACTTAAATAAATATTATACCAAAACCGATACGAATAAAAATCCAACATATATCTCTACCCAGAAACTGGTGTCACAACATTCAAGAACTGTCTAGGAATGCTACATACAAGTGTCTGAAAAAGGAAATATAGTCTGTCTCGTATACAAAAGAAAATAGAACATCTAAATGGTTAGAAGAGATGTCGAGCCTGCGGACACTTGCAGGTCTACCTCGGTGTCTCGGTGGACTGAAGGCTGGCTCCCCTACCGCTGCTGACCAAGCACTGCTCCTGTATCTGCACATAGGTGCAGAGTGTAGCATCAGCACAACCGACCCCATGTACTGGTAAGTGTCTGGCCTAACCCCGACGAGGTAGTGACGAGGCTAGGACCAGACTCCAGATAAACCTATGCAGTTATGTAGATATATACAGCGGAAAGATAGACGGAAACAAACAATTATAAATGGGGAGGGGAAACATGCTTTGGAGAATAACAGATAAGGCAGAATCTCAATAAAATTATAAGGAAACCAAAATTTAACTT